TATATATAATATATTATTATAGAGTTTAAAGGTGTTTTAAGATGAAAATGGCCAAAATTCTCATGTGTTGTAGTAGTTCATACAGCCAACTAAAACGTTAGTTACAAACAGAACTGTGGTTCTATGACCAAGTGGAAGGCCAGAGGCAGTGCTAAAAGCACTAGTGGATGACGAATACCTACACATGCAGAGATCACTGGCAAGGGAGTCACATTCAATCTGTATAAACAAGAAAACGTGCAAGCTGAACTCCAAGTTGCTGCAGCACAAATCTCACAGAGCGACACTCCCTTGAATGCTGCCCATGTTGCCAAAAACACAAGTAGAGTGACTGAATCGATGAAGGCTGCCCAGCAATACTCCACCGAGCAGGGACACCGGCAAGGCACATAAGTATTGCTTCTGATTCATTCTCTTTCCTACTACTTGTTCCCCTTCTGTTTTCAGTTTTTATAACCAATTCTTACTATGTGTTTCCAGATCCCTACTATTACTACCACTCGCAAACCATGCATCACACACTGTAGGCAGCGCAATCCTAACAACCTGCGCACTTTGCCTATGTCTACTAACACACTATTTTCTTTTTCTATTGGTCTCTGGAATTGCCAGTCTTCTGTAAACAAAGCAGGTTTTATTACTTCTATTACAAGTCATTCAAGACTAAACATCATGGCCCTGACGTGGATCAAACCACAACCAGAGGACAATGCTACACCTGCAGCACTCTCAAATAATTTCTCTTTTTCCCACTCCCCCCGTCTGACTGGAAGAGGTGGAGGTACTGGTCCACTTCCTCCTCACTCTTAACCTCAACATGGTTCCTGACACAACACATACCCCTACACGTCACTTTTCGATGTAACCTACGCTCTTCTCTCACCCTCATCTTTGTTCATCTTTGCTTCCTTCTCATATATTATATTAATATTATATATATATATATATATATATATATATAAGAGATAGATATAGAGGTAAATGCAAAAATGAATCTCAGACGTGAACATATTTGCTTTGCTTAATCTTCTGATGTACAAATTAATTATAAAACGAAATAAAAAAAATTAGAATTAATTTGGATTAAGCAAAGCTAATATGTTCACGTCTGAGATTCATTTTAGCATTTATATAGAATAACTAAACTATAGCTGAACTTTAGTGAGGGGACATTGTTCCTCTTAGAAAAAAAAACTTTTATTAAAATTCTGAATGCATTACAAATAGTCTAGTATGCATGCAAAGAGTCCTCCCTTTATAATTTCAAATGCACTGAGCCTGTCACTCATCTCAGTTCATCGGTTCAACAGACGTGTCTGTGATTAGCTACACTGCTCAATGCTGCAAATGTTGTAAACAGAAACATCTGATGCGCTCTAGAGCGCAACTGCAAATATGCACAGAAGAGTTTGGCAAATATGTTATTATTACAGTTTCAACGAAGGGTGCTGTTTTTTTTGTTTTGTTTTTTTTTTGTTTTTTTGTGTTTAACTCCCTAAACTGGGCGTGACATGATAAACTGCTTTCTGTATGGATTTAATATGGAATGTTACAGGAACATTTGGCAGTCCTACTTTGCATGTTTTAAACACTTAGATTATGTTTTTACTTTGGCCATGCATTAAATGCACATCCTTGAAAGAGTTTTTTGCTGACGTTTTTTGCTGAAGTATGTACTTTAACTTCTCAGGTAATGTCCATGGTATGATGACAAGGACAGTGGTTACATATAAATATATTTTAATTGATCAAAATTATTTCTAGGAACAATTCAGTTGTGCCCCTACTAAATTCTGTGTCCTTGAATTTAAGGTATTTTTTATGAACAAATTTGGAAAAAACAAATACAATTTTCCAAAGTTAATGTAGTCTGGGATAACAACCCAGCATTTTTTAGAGTGTAATGTAATAAATTTCTCCTATAATAACCTATTAAATTATGTGAAAATTATTACATTGAAAAATTATTATTACATTATGAGCTCAAGATTTTATTACATTTTGAGAAAATTATTACATTATGAACATTTTATTACAATAAAAATGTAATATTTATTTAATTAAGCACAGCATTATCTGCCTCAGGCAACGGCAGCATACAGCACGAGTTAAATGAACATTTATACAAGTTATAACATGAATGTACATCAGAGGATATGTTGAAAAATAAAGTAAAGCTTATAATCACATATCATTTCTGTGTCATGTTCTATAAGCATAACAGTAAGCACAGCATAAGTATAACAGCCTGTGAAGAATGTGTCAGCAACATTTGCCTCAAGAAAATAAAAGCGTCTAATCATATTGCCAAAATTATAAATATATTATACATTTGTGTATAATATAAAAATGTTTTTATAAGAACCATTTAAATGACTATATCTCAAAAATTATTAGTAAGCTTTTTATAAAAAAATAAAAGTTCACAATGTAGCCTAAAAAGCCTAATAAACCTAATTTTCTTTTAATGCAATTGCTTATTTTACATAAAACTATGATTGTGTTTTTGTGCTCAAATGTATTATATTGAAAGATAATTATGATATTGTAA